GCACTATCTGTGTTTTGAGTTCATGAAATTGGTTTTTTTCTTTCAAATTTTTAGATATTCATTTCGTCGTAATATGTGATGTCCAAAATTGTTTAGATATTTTACACAAGGACAAATAGTTAGAAATTCATTGCTTCTTTGACAACTAACGAGAGTAGAAAGTGATATTCGAGATCACTTGGATATACTTGTTCTGAAACTTAAAGTTTTGCTCGTATAATGAATTGCATTATAGTTGACAATGTTAAAGTCACGCGACCGCATGTACAAGTCGTATCGAAAGGCCTATTCTCCCGACAATGTTCCAAGTACAATAGGATCAATTGAGTCACGGATCATCCGTACATACTTTTGTTGTAATTCTCGCAACTGCAATCAACATTCACTGCCTGAAGGTGTGGCTATCAGATGTTACGTATGCGACTCACTTGTCACCGGCTTGATGGGATGCAGCATTTTGGATACAGCGAGTCCATATATTAACGATTCTGGATCGTCCAATCGTTCTGAAGCATGTGCTGTAAGTGGTTCAGGAGAAAAAAAATTATGTTCTCATATAAAAGATAATCTTTCTAAGACGATCGTCGGTCTGGTGGGCAAGGATGCGCACACCAATATAGACTATCCAGCCTTTACTATACGAACATACATTGCAGATTGTCACAGTCAACCGCTGGGCGTTGTTTCGTATGGCGGTGCTACTTTCCAGGGTCGTATCAATTGTTGTTCGACGAATTATTGCAACGCAGAACGTAAGTTAATAGTTATATGGAGCTTAAGATTCTCGATTATTAAATTTCGACTACATGGTTTGTGTAAGTCTGATTTTTCTAGGAATGCATAGAGTAATGATGGCTTTTTGTTTTTCAGTATCTATAGAGAACGTTTGTGTATACTTGAAATTCTTTTAAGTTAGACTCAGAGTCGAATAATAATATCCATCTGCACCCACGTGTATAGGAGAAAACTTTTAGGTTCAGGGATTTTGTAGGAGTCCCCTCTTAGTTTCAGATAGTGTACATCGAAGCAGCAGAGCTGATTGAACAGTTTTTTAAAATTTTCTTTCAATATTGTGCATAGTTCTTTTTTTTTATTCAGTTGCATTGTTCTGATCTGTCATAGCATCACTCAATTGATATCATTTAATTAATTTTCCCAAGAACTGATATATCGGATGTCTCAAAAGTCATAATCACTTAAGAAATGCGTATAATTCTCTTATTAATAAAGCTTCATCTAATAACTGTTTTTTTATTTGGTAGATAAGAGTATTAAATTTTATTTTTCATAAATACAAGGTTCATAAATACTGTTCAAACATATTACCTTTAACTTCTATACAAAAATTTAGACATTTTACAATTTTTGAAAAAAACTCACGTAAAGTTTCTTTGTTTTCTATTTCAATATTCAAGTCTTTAAATTATCTGAATCTTGTACTGCTATTCTTTAGACATTTGTTTTTTTTTGTTCTAGAATGTTCCCATAGAAAGAAGTTCAATGATGTTGATATGCATGCTTTATGTGAAGATATTTTTAAACGTTTATCAAATTTTTGTTAGTTTCAACTAGTTTAAGTGAAAAGATGACTTCTTTGAAAGAAGCAATGTCAATAAATATCACCTATCGGAAAGATGGAGTCAATCATATCTTTTTCGCACATGATCTCTTCCCGGCTAAACAAAATGTTCGATGGTAGGTAGATCGGAAGAAGTGAATTAATATCATGGGCTTCTCGATCACTAGATTTAACACCATTGAACTTCTTTCTATGGGAACATTTTAAAACAAATGCCTACAGAACACCAGTACAAGATTTAGATGATCTAAAGACTTGAATATCGAAATAGAAAACAGAGAAATTTTACGTGAGTTTTTTTCAGAAATTATGAAATGTCTAAATTTTTGTATGGAAGTTAAAGGTAATATGTTTGAAAAGTATTTATGAACCTTGTATTTATGAAAAAAAAAACTTAATACTCTTATCTACCAAAGAAAAAAAAATTATTAGATGAAGCTTTATTAATAAGAGAGTTATACGCATTTCTTTAGTGATCATGACTTTTGCGACACTCGGTATATTCTGTTTGTCTAATAAAACGTATTTAGACATAACAATATTAGATACAAAGCGCAGGCATTTATTATGCGTCTTCGTTATTTTTTTTTGTCCAAGAATAGAAAAAATACATTTATGAAGATCAATCATTTTGACATCAATGGGTCAATCGAAAAACCTCAAATTAATAGTATAGATAGAGGAAGAGACAAGCTATGTAATCAGTAAAAAACAAAGTGTTTCGATAGCTTTTATATATATGTTTAAGCTTTCAACATTTTGTCCGAAAACTTTTCGATCACCCATTATAAAGGGTGTAGATGGATGTGAGCGATCTCTTTGCATCCATGTCCACATCCAACATTCGGCTGGTAAGATACTTTGACAGACTACTTGCCAACTCCGTAAGAATGAATCTATAGCCACTGGCGCCGTAAAGGATGCCGCTCTTCGACTTTTGACATGTGAAGCAGACATTCTCAATAGGGAAAGGAACATTTGTCGAATTCTACAGCTTGTCGTTTGATTGGTAAAGATCATTAGGAGAATCACCATTGGATGAAATGAGTGATATCTCTTTGACATCAGTTGCGGCAGCTATTCAATCATTCAAATCTGGTACAACTGTTGAAGTAGATGGAATAAGGCTGGCAATGCTAGAACCATGCAGCTCTTGTAGCATATGTTGGGTAACTCACACTTATTGTGTAATATGGAGAATTGGAAAAAAACATGGTAATACTCAGAAATTGGTTTATTTTAAGCCGTCCATTAATAGATCGAATGGCGTAGTTACTCTCAAAAGTATAGATGTTAGTCATCATAGAGAAACTGAGTTGTTTGTATTGACTCACTCGTTTACCTGTCTTTCTCAATGCAGTGTAAACGAAATCGAAAAAGAAACGTACAGAAGAGGAAGAATTTCAAGTTGTTTTAGTTTGTTCATGCTTCTTACTTGCTTCCTTTTTTTCTTCCTTACTAATTTTTCTCCAATTATTCGAGATCTATGATTTTTTTTTTCATTCTAGAAGAAATTCTATAAACAAAAAAACAGCGAAGAATCGTACAAATGTGCTCCTCATTTTCTTTAAGATTTATTGTTGTAACAGTCATTTACTTGTACCTTTGAATTCGAATATATACAGTTGCTCGTCAATCTTCATCAACATTGGCAAATCACTGTCATATCGATTTTTTTTGAATCCATTCAAAGAACAAACCATTGATTATTGAATAAAATCAAATTTATTTCTCTTTTTTTATGAATTAGTAATCTCGAAAAATGTCGCTCAATTCTGTTCCAAAATCAACTTCGAGCATAACTTTGGATGTGGCTACAAAAGACAATATGATAACATCCAGCAGTTACATTTTTGCTCCAGATGGTATAATTCTAGCGTATCCTGAAACTAATGATGGACCATCAAGCTATCGAAATTCAGGCAATAATATAAATCGCATTAGACAACTCTTTTCGATTCTCTCGCCAAAAAACTTTAACTCTGTAAATTTTTAGTCGAAAAGTGACTTTTTTTTGTAAATAACTTGTTTTTCTTTCCGTATCAAACTTCGCAATTCACTTACTAACGTTCATTATGTTTGTACCAGTTAACCAATATAAAGTCTTCGTTCTACAAAAAAAAAATGTAGATTTATTATGAACAGGCTATCACTCATCGAAAGAAAATTTTCACAGACGGCAGCCAAGCTCAAGAAAAGTTTCACGTTTAGAACAAAGTTTGTTTTTGGTGAAGGGGGAGATGTTTTCAGAGGATGAAGTGTCATTTACATTGGGACAATGATATCCTCATGACTACCCCACTGTCAGTTACTCTCGAAAGTCGTCGAGCTTTTCGTGTCGTAACTGATGATAGCGTAAAGAGGCACGAGTGGATATGTGAATTTGAATCTTTAAGCTTATTTCCTAAATCAAAAGCCTTAGTCGTTTATTTCTGATTATCAAATAACAAAAAGATTCGATTTCTGACAATATTAACAGATCATCAATAATTTATAGAGTCTGTACATAACACAGAAGGACAGCTAGAGTGTGGGTGTGAGTGTGAGTTCGGGTATGAGGAATAGCAGATGCATACACTCTCAGATACAATTAGATAATCAAATATAAACACCAGATAGTGAAGGAATAATGCGAGTTTACATATATAACGACGTAAGTAGAAGCGCTTAAAGAGCTGCTTTGATAGTGTTCGCATAGAAGTATAAATATAAAGCTACTAGCAGCGTCCGACTATTTCACTATTAACATATCTGACATTTTATTCGTTTTTTTAATGGGTGTGGATGTAGCTTTCGAGAACTGTGAAAAAATTGACAATATTGTCCGAATTCAAGTAGAATTTCGATACTCCCCGAAATCCTGGTTGAATTTCGACATTGTCGACACTCAAATGCCGAAATTTCGATTGTTCAAATTCCACACAATAGTTAAAAATTCAAAGAGCTTTTTTTGTGCTCTTTTCATACCAATACAAATCATTCGATTAGCGATCGCTAAAAATCTGTTATATTGGCATCATAAAAACATGTTTGATGGTAGTAAATTTCGGTTTCTGTTTGTTGTAAACAAAATAAAACTTTCCTATTAAGTTAGATTAATCATCAAACAAAATTCAGTGGATCTTATTCTTCAAGAGTAGATACTCATACAGAATATGGTCAACAGATCACGATGTTCTTCGTTGATAACGTCAGATATTGACATGTCTCTCGTGCACATGGCACTGATCTCTTTGAAGCTCACAAAATTACAGCACAAATTTATTTATTTAATAGAGTATAAGTGTGGATGTGTAGGAATGCGCGTCTTCTCTCCATTATCATCTATACTAATGTTCACACATCACGCATGGAAATCTGTCAACATCATACATAATTTAGAAACTATTTTAGAGAAATTTTTCATTTGATTCACGATCTATTATAGGAGTACACATAAAACTGATGTAGAATTCTTGTTCACTGCATGTTTATCGTTTTCATTCTGTTTTGCAATCCACATCATAGAGCTCACCATATTTGCATAATGATCATCATAAAAATCGACACTATGTTCACGTTTTGATTGTTCCCGTAAATTCTGTAAATGTGTTAATGGATTTTGCTGATAAAGATTTAAGAATATCTGTGCGTATACACAGAGTGCTTCACCATCATAAAACGTGCATAATTGAGGTATAAGAGTTCTTTCAGTGCACCACCAAGCTCTGATCTCAGCTTTGGACCATGTACAAGGTGATGTTTTCGGCATAGAATATTCAATATTAGTTTCGGGAACTTTCACTTTTAATGAGCTATTATCTTCCTTTACCGTAGATGGTATAAAGACTTCATGTGAAGAATGACCTGTTTGTGTCTGCAATGGTTCCATAGATTCTAATGAAGTGTTACGTGCGGTTATATATGTAGCGAGACGAGCAATTCTTTCAGCGAATGGTTTTTTTCCGAACTTAGCATGTAATCCTGTGAGATGAATATCAAGCCAAGGTTCTGCCGGATAATTTTCATCGATATATAAAGCAATGATTGGAATTTTGAGTTTTATAGCATAAGTGGCTTCAACACGACATGAATCACTTTTAGTACAGTAGTTTTCTGAGACAACAATCAATACCGTGCTTGCGTTCTTTATGGCTATTGCTATTTCTTCCCAACAGTCATTCGACAAACAGTGTCCATCTTCATCGATCCAGACTGAAATGGAATGTTCTTTGAGAGCAGTGACAACTGATCTGCAAAAATTGGCATCTTTATGTGAATAAGAAATCATTGGAATTTTCGTTACAGATGTGTTGACAATTTTATTATCGTTTTGGATCGGTATTTTGAATTTATCGAGATAGACCAATATTCCATCAGCAGCAGCTTTAATACTCATCAAATTATTTCTCAAAGACGAAGGAATAAATGCTTCGGTGTTTGAAGTCGATGAATTCGAAGCTTCCGAAACAGTTTTTATGAATTTTTGATTTTCTTTAAGTTCTTGTTGAACAGATTGATGAAATGCAAGGCTACATAAAATATTGTATAGTGCTAGTCGAATGAGATGTTTTACGAATAGATCATTAGCGGATAGTATATCGTGCTTGTATAAGAGTTCAATAAAGAATTCGAGACCGCCTGTTTCGCTATTATTTAATAGATAGGTCGCTACATTATCATTAATGAGAAGTTTAGCGATCGGTACCAAGTATTCGTAGAGATGGCCGGTTTTCGAACGTAAATTATTTGAAGCATTTGCTTCGTGAATTTTTGTGAGTAAATAATCAATAGCTGGTTTTAAAACCGTTAGAGTCTTGAGTTGATCCGTTGTTGATATCATCGCATATATTCGAGGATAAAATGATAAAGTAAAATGATTTTCTTCCAGCCTGTTAGCTAAAACCTTTTCGGACATTTCTAGAGTAGTGATGGCACAAGCCTCGTTCAATGCTATCACACCTTCTTCACATTGACTAATATTGCTCATTGCAACAATAAGTGAGTCAAGTGGATCAGATGAAATATTACGTTTACTAATCATATTTAACCATTCGACAAGTTTTGCTGGAAAACCTAAATGAATTATTGTAGGTAGCAAACTTTTGCTATCCGACATAACAACGATAAGGGAGAAAATTATCTGGACACATTCTTTTCTTGCTGCATCCTCCTTTGTGCCAGTGAAAAAATGATCAATAAATGTAATAATTTTATAAAACACTGCATCATATCGTTCTTCGTGCAAAGACTTGTGAGCTGTATAATCGGACAATTTTAGATGCTCCATACATCGGCTGTCTGCCCAAACAACGATTTTAGCTAATTTCAAAAATATTTTAACGTAGAATTTGAAAATAGTCTCCACATCAATTTCAGTGAGATATGCAGAGAACTCGTCCGTACTGAAACCATCCATTGCTATAGTATAATACTCTTTTGCTGATAGAATTTCGTTTTCAATTAATTCACCAAGTTTCGAACAAATCATATTCCAAATATGCAGCATAACAGTCATAAATAGTAAGTACTTGGACAGTGAAGACGAAAATGTAATTGAAATTTTACAAAAGCGAATAAATATAATGGGCAACTGATGTTTTTGTATTTGTTCGTTTGATATTAATCTATTTTTAATAGATGGATTAGTCAGATGATCTTTTAAGGCAGATAGTATATTGTTAATTTCATATGTATCAGAATTTTGTTCAGGTAGACTTGTACATAAATCAAGACGATCAATTAATTCATTGATTTTGATTAGATCTGCATTTTTTTCAGTATCACCATCAGTGTTGTCTTGAAGCTCATTCATTATCGTAGCTATGCAATGGAGGTAGCCTTTCGAGTTTGTAATAATAACGTATGAATTGCGTTTTTTTCTCTTCATTCTCACATTTTTTTTTAATGTTTTGCGTTTCTATGTAAACTGAAAAAAAGAAAAACAGAAAAGCAAAAGAAAGAAATGAAAAACAGATTAATATGATGGTTGCTTATGAAAATAATATTATAAACAAAACTATGTCTTATCGAAACATAAAAGTGAAGGACATATTTACAGATTGTGTTATAAATTGTGAACTTGGACGAAATTAGTTTCTAAAAAGACAGGTAATAATCTTTAAATGAATGCGTTCGTATGAGTTTCGAGTAGTCAGTTCGACGTTTTAAATATCACAATATTTGATGACATTCTCTCTTATAATAATATTTATAGTAGAATTTCATCGACAATTTTTTGAAATCGAGCGACAAGGGTTTTTTTGTTAATTAACAAGGAAGTAGTAACCTTGACAAAAACACGTATTAAACGAGTTTGCATAAAAGATGTCATTAAACTATAGCACATGTGCCTTTCATATTATTTATTACTAATTCTTGAAGTCGTAGCTTCGCACTGTCATTCAATGGAAGTATAGAAATATATAGGAATTCAACAGCATCTTTTATATAGGGTTTTCCATAACTGTATAGAAAATGTAGGACACTGTTTTCCGCTAAGAGACATCTTTAAAGATTTTGAAGAACTTGAGGGCATAGGTATCGGTGTGAGTGCGAATCTTTTGTGTACCATGACCAATACCTTAGTTCACGCACCTGCATCCAGGATCAGAGCCGTTGATAAATCTGAATAAGTTCAAACTGTATGTCAAACATCTTTAGAAAATATATGTGTTTTAGTAGTTTATTACTTGAGAAAATCCTCTTCATAGCAAATTATAAAAAGCTGTTAGCGCAATTCCTGTGGGATTAAAATGTGACACACGATGTTGCTGTTGTTACTGATCTCATGAATATTGTTTTTTTTTATATAATTTGGGACTATTTTTTCATTTTCTTTTACTTAGTCCTTTAGAACTGCAATAAGAAAACAGTTTATATATTCTTATGAGATGTTATAACATATGATTGCTAATTGAGTACCGAAAACGTAAGGGATAAATAACAAAATCCTAGAATTCTATGAATTCCCTATGATATATTACAAAATTCTGTGGAATTCTATAGAATCCGGAAGTTCAGAATTCTCTTAGATTTCGTAGAATTCTAGGGTTCCAGAATTCTGCCATTTGTCCCTTGGGAAGCTGACTATTGCGGTCTGGGAACTATCTAGTACAGATTGTGATGGACCTGGAGGGTGTGGAGTATGAATGAAATGAGTACTCAGCCACTTCCACACACTCACATTCAGTCACATCAGCTGCAACAAATCTTGTTATCGATTTCAGATGACAATCGATAGTATATTTTTCTAATTTTCGAATAAGATCAATACTATTGATTGCCATCGCTTCACGAGTAATTTTCAAAAAGATGAATGCTAAGAGATCATTCAAGAATTTCCAGTATACTTCTAGATCTATGAGCGTATTTTCTTTCTTCTCTAGTATTTTATTTATTACCTATCTCATCCTATGTAAGCTTCACAAAAAACACTTTTTCAAATAGAAGTATTAAGTTTATCTTTCTTATTCTTTCTAATAAAGAATGGATATAAACAACACTTATATTTATTAAATAAAGACCAATAAAATCATTCTTATTATTTAAAAAATGAAGATGAATGATCTTTTAATTAGTTTTAGAAAATACAAGCAAATTAAACAATAAAAAAATTTTTTTTTCTATGAGAATCTAATTTTTTGTTTTCTCCAGATTGTTCACAAAAAAAACTTTAGTATCATAGATACAAAAGAATCTACAGACAACGGTTTTTAGATACATTTTCTAATGTACCATCCGTATTTTTAACAATATCACATATTGAAGTATTGTTAGTGATATGACAGATCGTTAATTCATCTTTTTATACCACTCATGTATCTATTTATCTATCACAGACAGAGATCTTTATTCATATCATGCAAAAACATACTGATCATTTCGAGCTGTGTATATTTCAGAGCTAGTTGTGTTTGGTTTGCAATTGACTGGTCTAGGGTTCGAATCTATGTTCAAGATAGTTTTGGAAAAATCGCCACTGTGTTGCATACGGTACTGAGTGTTATATCATAGTTCGTTATGATACGTTCGCTTGAGTTCTACGTATAGTGTTGATCATCTTTTAAATTTTTGGTAATACAATAAAAGCATTTGGACACGCTTATCTTATAACCATATCGAAACACATTTTAATCAGAAACCGTATTTAAATCATCTATAGATATGAGCGCGTTCGAATCTCTCTTCAGCATAGACGAGTTTTCTCTAGTTCGGTTTCTCAAATCCGTTCAAATACCTAAAAATGTTTTATTGTAGAAGCGTTTAAATGCACTAAGTTATATTGTTTGCAAACAATGATGAACGCGTTACAAACCTCAAAAAGGTTACATGGATAAATATAGAAAAATAGAAAGGATTAGAAAAAAATGATACCAGTAGAGGAGGCGGAAGAGAAGAGACATTGAAGGTAGGAATGATAAGTGTCTATGAAATGAAAAAGAAATAAGAAAATGAATATCAACGGCATAAAACGGATGCGTTTTTGTGTAGTTAGGTTTTTCATGCTTCTGTGGTTGGTACTGGTTGACGACCTTTATTGCTCATGGTGGCAGCCGCAACGCCTACTCCACAGATCGAACAGCAACATATGCAACATAATACAACAGGAATAATAAAAGGGAGGAAAAATAGCCAATAAGTAAAACGGTATAATGTCGGATGACAATAAGTAGATTGAGTCGGTTCACTATATTGTACTTTATTCCATGCACCAAATACCCATATAAGTCCGGCAATGGTCCATCCAATCGCAAAAATTGTGAGAGCAAATATAATAAGTAGGATAATACAAGTGATACAAGCAATGCCAGCGCTGACACCAACAGCCTTAGAATCGTTGCTGCGGGCTGTCTTAGCTGGATTGATAATAGTAGTAATTACAATACCTTT